AAAAACGGAAACCAGACGAAAACAAGCTGAGTTTTCCCAGAGCATTTTCCGGCGAAGGGTCGCTAAAAAACTAGGGGTTGAAAGTCGTGCCACCACCACATCCGATTTTTCGGTTAGTTCGTTTTTTAAGAGAGCCTCGGAGCGAGCGAGATCGGTTTTTTAAGAGAGGCGAGAGGGTTGCAGCTGAAACTTGGATTTGCGCAATTTTTGCTATATTAGCTGGCGGCCGCGGAAGAGTTGAAACAGTTTGAGCCTCGCAGCCGAACTTTGAGGATCGCTGAGACGCCGTGCAAGAAAAGTCGATCGAAGTGGAGATACTCGTGCTGTGTTCTGTTTTCTGTGCTGTGACCCACTTAAAATCTGCAAGAAATCTTGAAGAATTTTCTAATATCAAAAAATATATATCTTTGTGCTGTGTCGAAAAGTGTCCAGAAAAGTGCTTTAACAAAATGTCCAACCAAATGGAGTTTATTATGCAACTTTACATGATGAACTTGATGAAGCAGCAGCAGCAACAGCAGCAGCAGCAGCAGCAGCAGCAACTGCAACTGCAGCAGCCGCTGGCTGGATACACATACACCCAGAACGAGGATATCACGAGCAGCACTTGCCTGCAGCAGCAACACGAGCAGCAGCAACATCAGCCACAACAGCAATCGCATCTGCAACAGCCACAGCAAGATCCTCACAAGACAAGAACGCACAAACGCATTAGCTCGCAAAACACCAACTGTAGTAGTAGCCGTAGTTGTAGTCCCAATAGTAATTTGATTGCTTTTCAACCACAACAATATACAGGCGCTACAGCAGCAACACCACCCACACCTAACCACAACACACACAATTTGGTGGGCCAAATGTTGCTCAACACCCTGCCGCCGCTAACGCAGTACATGTTGCAGCAACAGCAACAGCAGCAACAGCAGCAGCAGCAGCAGCATTTGCTGACCACCTCCAATCTCCTACTAACACCCACCCACACCCCCAGTTCGCTGGGAAAGCCGGAACCGCCGCAACATCAGTTGCTGCTGGGCCAATTCGCCAGCTCCGAACAGTTTACCACAAATAATTTTCTACAATCCTCCACAGTGACATCAACGCCAATCGAGAAGTCAGCCACGCCAGCAACTGAGGCAGGACCAACTGCAGCAGGAGCCACCGCCGGCGACCTTTCGGCGGTCACAGTCAAGTTTGAGCAGGACTCCGTCGACGACGAGGACGACGACAAGCCGCTGTCCAGCCTCAACAGCTGCAGCTCCTCGGGCCACAGTCACACCAATGCCAGTTCCGAGAAGCTGCTGCTCCTGTCGGGCGTCCATCCGCTGGAGTCAACCACCGACAGCCTTGACTCACCCAGCATGGTAAGTGATCCTTTTAAAAATGTTCTAATGTGGGGTACTTCTTAGGAATTTCTTGAAAAAGTCAAGTCCATTTTGCAAAATTTAAAAGTTACCACAACCTACAAAGTAATCTCTTGAAAATTATCAATCTTATTGATCTAGGTTTTGTTTTTTTTTTATTTATTTGTCTAACATGTTCCTAAGGCAAATACAGAGCACAATTCTTTTTTGTAATTAAAAAAAAAAATCTTAAAATTAGTGGTAAATATCAATATAATTATAAAACATTTATTTAATCGCTCTAGCTTTTACGGCATTTTCTAACAAATAAGCCATTAAATAACAAGTATTACTTAAGCTAATCAAACGCTGAAATATTTAAAAACTTTCCAATTTTGAAAGCTTTATTTTGTTCCAATATTTTGTAATTAATTTTTTTTTTTTTTGGGGAATATCCCACGCTCTGTTGATGTAATTTGAGAATAATACATAAATGAAACAACTCGTGATTTATAAACTTTGAGTGTGAGAGTAAACAGAAAGATCGCGATTCCAGGGAAAACAAACAGCTGTGTCGGCAACGCGTGGGTTCCCTTGGTGGCTCGATCGTCGGCCAGCTGTGGGCACCAGGCAGTCTGAGATGATGGGGCTCACAGATCCACTGAACATCCCCACCCCAAGTATACATATGTTATATAGACGTTCCTACCCTCTTGCCCACTCTTTGCAGTACACGCCCGTCAAGCAGCCAGCGGACTCGTCGTACAACATCACGCCCGTCGAAAGCGAACTGACCCCCAACACGCCCCTTCAGCAGACCCAGACCACCTCCCTTCTGACCCCACCCTCCAGCGAGCAGAGCAAGAGCATGGTGAGCCTTTCGGCGGCCAGCGGCCTGGACGCCCTGCTCCAGAGCGAGGAGATCCTAAAGAATTTGCGCAAGATGTCCTCCTACCTGGAGTGCGAGAACAGCCTGTGCCGGCAGGAGAACCTGCGGGAGCACTTCCACTGCCACGAGGAGCCCTGCCAGGGCAAGATCCTGAGCAAGAAGGACGACATCATCCGGCACCTGAAGTGGCACAAGAAGCGCAAGGAGAGCCTCAAGCTGGGCTTCGCCCGCTTCTCCTCCTCCGACGACTGTGCCCCCGCCTACGGAGAGGGCTGCGCCTACAACTGGAAGCAGACTCACTACCACTGCGTCTACGAGCACTGTCCCAAGGTCTATGTGAGCACCAGCGACGTCCAGATGCATGCCAACTTCCACCGCAAGGACTCCGAGATCGTCAACGAGGGCTTCCGGCGCTTCCGGGCCCACGAGAACTGCCGCATCGAGGATTGCCCCTTCTTCGGCAAGAAGATCTCGCACTATCACTGCTGTCGCGAGGGCTGCAATCACACCTTCAAGAACAAGGCTGATATGGGTAAGTCCAATGCTTGGCGTAAAACTGTAGAAATAATCTGTTAGCAATATGAAATAAGCAGTATTAAAACATGTAAATGTTTTAAATCACTTATGCTCAGTGTTGGGCTGTAACTAGATACCTGTACCTATGTACAACTTTTTGGTACCTTATACCTTACTTAGGTGGAAAAATATATTAGGCTAGGTGAGATATAATACCTAGGTAAAGATTTGTATTTATCTTAAGATTATGCTCTTTTACGTAATTAGGTTCTTACATTTTTGTATTTATTTCTGTTTTTAAATTAACTTGATACCACTAAATTCAACTTTGCAAGTTCGTAATTAAACTGCAACTTCGAGAAGAACCCATTAAGCCCAAAATGATAAAACTACGAAAGAAATTAATTGGAAAATGTCTTTTTTGTACCTTTTTTGTAACTTTTATCATAATAATATACTTACAAATTTGTGTACCCTTTACCTTACCCAAAAACAAGTACACAAGTTTGTGCTTTCAAAGCATTCTTTATCCCTAACTTTTTTAAAACAAAACAAAACAAAACAAAAGTTATACTTAAATATTACCAGTTTCTTAAATTTTTTTAATATAATTATCAAATTAAAAATGATAAATTTAGAACTAACATTAATTTACCTTACTTACAGACAAACACAAGACTTATCATCTGAAAGACCACCAGCTGAAGATGGATGGCTTCAAGAAGATCCTGAAGACCGAGGTGTGTCCTTTCGAGGCCTGCAAGTTCTCCACCGTCTGCAACCACATCCACTGCGTCCGCGAGGGCTGCGACTACATTCTGCACTCCAGCAGCCAGATGATCAGCCACAAGAGGAAACACGATCGTCAGGATGGGGAGCAGGCCTACCAGCAGTTCAAGGTCAAACAGGATGTGGAGGAGTCCTCGCTGGATGCCACGTCCCAGCAGCAACAGCAGCAGCAGCAGCAGCAGCAGCCCATCAGCGTTGGCCAACCCCAAGTCAGCAACTCTGTTTGTGGCAGCAACGCCTCCACTCCGCTCTCCTCCCTCTCCGCCGAGCACTTTCTGGCCCGGAAACGCGGCAGGCCGCCCAAGAAAATTGTAAGTTTTATTTGCTTAATAATATTCTCTGAAACTAAATTTGTATATCCCTTTCCCTTGCCATTACAGCAACTGCCCGCCGATGTCCAGCAGCCGGATGCCAAGCGCCTCAAGGTCGAGGATGACACCAGCAATCCCGCCTTGCACCTGCCCCAAAACCAGATCCCGTCCCAGCCCGCAGCCCCTGTCCATCCGCTGACCAATGGTCTGTTTCCTGGCCTGCTGCCCGTTGCCACTGCTCCTGGAGTGGATGCCACGGCCCCCAACTTCCAGCTCACCCACCTGATGGCCCTGTTTCAGCTGCAGAATCCGCTCTTCTACCAGAACCTCTATCCCGCCATGACCCAAAACCCCTCGATGCTGGGAAATCTGGCGGCGCTTAGTGCCGCTTCGGCAGCAGCGGCGGCGGCAGCGGCGGCCAATGGAGCAGCAATCCAGCAGCCCAAGTCGGAGTTTAGCTTTAAGCCGGAGTTTAAGGAGTAGAAGGGATGCATGTCCTCGCGATAGTTTTAGATTAGTTAGTTGGACCAACGGACACTGTACATACGGGCTAAAAGCAGGTTCCCCTTTCCTTGGGTTGCATTTTTTTTGGGTGTTGAGGCAGAACCAGGACATGGCATCTTTCCCTCCACAAAAACCAACTCAGCCGCATTTTGATAAACCCTAAGTCTCTGCTCAAAGTGCAGCTGAATTGGCTTTTGCAAATTACCATCCCCTAGCTTAGATTCTTCGAGTGCCACATTAATTTTTAAAATTTTCAGCCATTTTTAATAAAAACGAGAAGAATTTCTTGAATTTTAGTTTGACTAAAACTGTGATGTTTTCATTAGGCTAGCCGCTTTGAATTGGTAGGAGACTTGAGTTGTCAATAATGTACTTTATAGGCATTAAATTGTATGTGATATAACAATAATATAAGGCTAATTGTTGTCGCTTTATAAAATAAGAGGATGCTATTTTAATAAAATACTAGAAACTTTAGTTAATTCAGCTTTTTTCCGAAATAAGAGATACATTTTACCTGAATAAATTATAAGATCTGTCAGCATTGAATATTTAAAATGCTTGCGTTTTTTAATGTGCAATTTTTGGGGTTTAACAAAAATCGAATATCAAAATTACATACCTTCTATCCGCATATAAAACAAACATAAGTTTTGATTAAATAATTTTTGACTTTATTACTGTTTTCATGTAATCGTTTGTTTGTTTTAATCATATTCTAACACAAATCAGCTACACAAACTCCGGACGTTCGATAAAAACCGTCCAGCTAAGCGATACATAAGTACTTAACACAGAAGCAATTATTATTTTCTTTGCTTGTGTATTCATTTTTCATAAACGTATGTAATATGTAAACAATCAATACAATCCAAGTACCATAATGATAATGAAAGAGATTTCAGAAAGTTGTATCCTACTCAAGAACAATGTACAAGCAAGGAATCATCGGAATTGTTTTATACATTGGGTATCTGACTTTAGTTTCATTGCAAAGTAAAACCCTGGGAGAAATGTACACATATAATTAAATTAAGAATAACATTAAGAACTAATGATCTATAACTAAAGAAACACGAAAATCAACAAGTAAGTTACTAAGTAAATTCGTTAAGTATTAGGTCAATAAAAGGGAAGGGCGAAAAACTAAACAAACTACAGACTCATGAATGCTTCTTTTGATTTTGCGTTTGTTTTTTTGCGAGTTGCCTTAGGTTATAAGCTTCGATTTTGATGCGGTAGCCAAATTTATAAAAACTTGAAAAAGCATTATCCAATTTATTCCTATAAGCATATTTGTATATAGTTGTATAATATTTGGGGCATCAGTTTATAACGATTGCGTAACTTTCCGATCAATATATATGGCAACATTTTGTGCGCACATCGACTATGTGTAGACGACACACTTTGAAAACGAAGAGGTTGCAGTTTGCATCTTGTGTTGGGTTTGGGTTAATCGTATCTAAATCGCAACAGAAGAGGTTATGAGTAGCGTTGGGTTTTTGTAAGCTGCCTGCCCATCTGCCTGGCGGGCCCTAGTCGCGATAGAATCCGCGCAGCAGTTTCCCGATGAATCAGAACCGTTAGCTGCGACCGGTGGTCGCCGTGGCCGCCGGCGGTGCCAGCTCCACGGGCACGGGAGCCACCCGCACGACGGACTCCGTGCTGGACTGAACTCCCAGCGGAATGGCCCGCATGTGATGCACCGGACGTATGGACTTGAGCTGCGTGGTGCCCTTGAAGCGCACGTTGACATCGCCACCGACCATGCTGAGCGGATGCATGGCCTGCGGCTCCTCCACCTCCTCCCGTGGCATGGCGGCCATTGTTGTCGCCGGCGGCTGTTCCTCCATCTGGTGGGCAGACGGCGCCGTAGTGATGGCCACGCCATAGCTCTGACGCTGGGCCAGCGGCGAGAGGGCCGGCGGCGTGGTGCGGTAGCCCATGCGACTGAATATACTACCGCCGCTGCTGTTGCTAGCCGTGCTGGGCGGGCTAAGGGGCGTGCCCACGCCCGAGTCCACCTCCAGCGGGCTCTTGATATTCGCCACGAACTTGTCCACGTGCTCGGGCAGCTTCAGTTCATCCAGCTTCACTTGCATGACGGTCCGGGCGCTGGCATTGTCCAACAGGCGATTGGGTCGCGACGGCGGCGTCGGGGACACCGACTCGCTGCCACTCGGCGACTGGCCGTTGAGGCGTTGCTGCTGCAGCTGCTGTTGCTGCTGCTGTTGCTGCTGCTGCTGACGCAACTGCTCAAAAAAAGGTGTCTTCTCCTTCTTCTGCTTTTGTGGCGAACCAAGTTCGTCTCTTTCGGTCAGCTCTTCGAGCACCTTGAGTGGAAACCCCAAGTGACTGTTGACGGAAACGGACTTGCCGATCTTGCGCTCGGCAAAGATGGGTTTGCGACGCTGCCGCTCCAGGTCGTCCAGCTGCTGCAGCATGCGCCTCACCTCGTTCGGCAGCTCCAGGTCGGGATTGTGTTCCACCAGTTGGCCGACGTACCGACCCAGGGTCTGGATGGTCAGCTCCAGCGACTGCACCTGCGATTGCAGCGTTGTTATCTGAGCCTGCTGCGAGGAGCGGGTGGTCTCCAGCTGAGCAATCGAGGATTGAGCAAACTGCGGAAGAGAAAAAAGGTATTTAGTGGGTATATTATGGATTATGCTTGAGTATACTCGAAGAGCCCTTAGGCTCTACTTTAGCAAAACCGTTTGAGTTAATAAACTCACAAAAATTTTCGATTCAAATAGCTCAGCTCCCAGCTTTTTACGATAACCTATTCGATTCAATTAAAATAAAAGGCTCATTGAAACCATATGCTCATGGAATAATGGGATCGAGTAGCTCAATCTTTCGATCGGAACTCGAGAATTTCACGCTGGAAAATCTGATCCAAAAAATTAGGGTTTTCATTAGAATGATAGACATAGACATTGTCTTCTTAAAAATAGTTCAAAAAAATTTCGGAATATTCTCTAGATTATTAATGTTGTGTGTGTGAAATTTTTAGCTGAAAAACGTCAAATACTAAAAAAAAAAAAATGGGCCAATAGTCATTATTTGCAAAATATATAATCGTTAAGAATTTGGAATTGGCAAACATTCCAATCTTTAAAATACTTTAATCTTAATCTTTGGCTGAAGAATTCGCGTGGATTCCCAAAAAATTAAACTCTTTTTAATACATATTTAAATAATTTTAAAGAAGCATATAAAGCTGAATGATAATTTGCCTGACCAGAAATATTTTACATGATCTGTTTAAACTGTTTTTGTTTGAGTAAAGTAAGCTTGAATTAATAGTTTGTTTTGTTAATGGAGTAAATGGAATCATAGCTCCTAAAAGGAGTTGTACCTCGACAATTCCATAGCCTATGACTCCAAGGTCCTGAATAAACAAAAACGATTCTGAACTCATAGTCAATGTTGACCAAATGATCGTCCTTTAAGGCTCACCTGCAATTGCTGCTCGAGGTGCTGGTTCTGTGTCTTTTCCCTGTTCAACATTTCTAGGTGATGGTTGGTGGTGGTGATCTCCTCCTGCAGCACGTTGTACTCCACATTGTACTCGGCCAGCTGCTTGCCGATGTCCATGGCGAAGACCAGCTTCATTATCTGCTCCATGCAGCTGGGCTCTATTTTGGGCACCACGGTCTTCAGGTAGTCCATGATCTCCTCGAAGTTATCCTTGGCCAGGAGTTGCTGCTTGTGCACTGATAGCAACGCAATGGCAAACTTGAAGATCACATCGGAGGATTCCAGGAAGAGCAGGTCAAAAACGCGGGCCACGAATCCCAACGGGAACTGTGAGCTGAAAACGGTGAGGATCCAGGGAGCCGCATACAAAGTGGGCGACACATCGTTCTGATCGAGCCACACATACAGGTCGGGCAAGTGATCTTTGACCAATCGGGAGAGCTGGTACAGCTGCAACTGAAACTTTTTCATGTCGGGCAGGTATTTTGTGCGCATGTTCCGGCGGAACATAAGGTGTTTCAGCAGCTGAAACGCATTGGCCTCATCGCACTGAAAAACACAAACACAAAGATTAGTCAACGATCATAAAGCATTGCGTTCAAAGGGGAACCCACATGCAGAAGTAAAACGCCGCAGATGAAGCCCAAACCCTGGCAGTATCCCAACTCCGGATCGAGAATGGAGTAGGCCTTCAGCAGGTTGAACAGCGATAGCTGACCCAATCCGAGGGGATCCTTATAGAACTGGTGGTTGGGGAACGTCCTGCCCAGATCGATGAAGATCGCATGCTGATGCTCGGTAAGGTGCTTCAGCAGCGTGTGATACGGCGTATTGAAGTTGGGGAATCGCTTTGTGTCCACCGGAGCCGTGTTCATGGAATGCTGCTCGCCCAGGAAGGTCCACACGTCGCCGCGCTTCGAACGCGGCACTCCAGTGCGGATGGCGTGACCCAGCACCTTGGGATCCTTCTTGTTGCCAATCTGCGTGGAGTTGCGCTCGATAATCTGCTCCCAGCGCTCGATCAGCTGCTTGTCGCAGGGCACAATCTCCTCGTAGTCCAGTTTGATGCGCTTCAGCTCGTTCTCGTTCTGGCGTGCCTGCAGCATGGCGTTCTCCGTCTCCATGCGGTTTAGCATGATGGTCTGCCGGATGGCAGTGCGCCACAGTTCCCTCAGCTCCGACGCATCCCGCTTGCCCCGTTTGACAGCTGTTATTTGAAATTCAATTGTTGATCAATATCCCCCTAAAATGAAGGGCAAAGGACTAAGGACTACTTACGTTTGCGCATGGGCGACAGAAACTCGGTGGGAACCTCACTGTCCAGACCCTTCGAAGGTGTCACCACACTATTAAGTATCGCCTGGCGCCAGGAGCCCTGGTGGGTTTCCGCCTCTTTGGGACTGTTGCCCACCTTGATGAATCTAATTGAAGGAAATAATGTTAGTTAAAACATGAAGAAATAATTAGGAAATAAATAAACCTTACAGTTGAGTGATTCGACTGTTAGATACTCTTTACTAAGCTAATCAATTTTAACTACAGCACAGGCTGAGAGCAAGCAGCAATACCGCCCACCGCTAATGTAATGTAACGTAATGACGTCATAATTAAAAATTGTCTAATAACTTCTACAATAATGGTTCGATTTGGAACATTTTTGATGTGTCGGTAGATATTTACCAATTACACATATACAACCCAAAAGCTGGCCTCTACCATGTCTCGAAGACACATGACAGTATTTTGTGATTTGTGGGCGTTAGAGTGGGCGAGGCCATTATCAAAATATCTGATCTTTCCCAAATACCAAGACATGGCTAAATCTACTCAGCTATTGACTTTAATCAATCATATAAACACCCCAATATACCCATCTACTCGTCTTTCGCCGTAACTTACATGTCCATCATGGGGCTCTTCAGCTGCTCAGCTGTGGGCTTGCTGCTGGGACTGGCACCCACCGTATTCGAGCGCGACCGAAAGCCTTCGGGTGGTGATTGAGTGCCCAGGGGCTCGGCGGATCCCTCCCTGATGTCCCTTAAATTGTGCGGTGGCACTGCGATATCGTCCTTGGAGGGTTTGCGTTTGAGAAGGTTGTCGAAGGAGTTGGTCAGCGAGCGCTTGGCCTTCATGAAGATGGTGCTGCCGCCGAGATACTGGTTAAGGAACTCCGACCGATTCTCGGCGGTGTCGTGAACATGCCTCTGCTGCCTGGACTCGCAGTGTGCCCGGAGGAGCATCATGAGGAACTGGTTCTGCTCGGCCACCGGTGAGTTGGTCTTCTCCGAGCCACAGAACTTGGCCCACACGATCTCCTGCTCGTCGTCACTGAGCGTTTCGATGCGGCGCAGAATGAGGGCCTGGGTCTTCTTCTCGGAGAGTCCCTCGACATCCGTGCAGAGCTTGTGGTACCACAACATCGGGCAGTGCTCGCAGCTGAATATCTGCGTCTCCTGTTTTTTCTTTTGCTCCGCGCAGGTGTCGAATGCCTGGGCAATGGCCGCCACAATGTCATCGCACACGTGCTCCGACTGGCACTTGAACACGTAGCCAATGTAGCCGTCGTTATTCAACTCCCGGCAGATGATGCCAAAGTGATCCAGCGACTTCTGGCCATGCACACAGCTGGCCACATCCTTGAAGTCCTTGTAGAGCAGCACCTGCTTGCGATCCGGCGAGATCAGGCGGAGATCGCATCGTCCCACGAGAAAGACCATCGTCCGGTTCTGCTCCACAAACGGCGGAATGCAGCCCTGCGACGCGGACCGATCCCTCAGCTTGGGTATGCTGAAAATGGATTCGTTAATAGATGGATTGCAATGCAATTGGGTAATTCAATCAAGATCTTTGTGCTTCGGGCGGTGACATGCGACTATATAAAAATATGCAGGCAATGGGTGCTACTGGGCAAGCGAAACAAACGAAAAATCTATCAACTATCGAAGGCTGAAAAGTGTTACTATTTTGGCATTCATCTTCTCGAGGATCTTATTCGTATTGGTTTCAGATTATGTCAGAATTAATAGGTATGCAAGGCTTAAAAGAGTTTTAATGTTAATAATTGATTAAATTATATCAAATATTCAATTCTGAACAGTTCTTAAAAACAGTTTTTTTACAAAGTCCTCTAAATTCTTGTTATTCGCTTTAATTCATAATAATATTTTTATAGAGATATAAAAATATATGTTAAATAACATGTTTATAACAAATGTTAATCATGCACTATAGCTGGTAAAGATCTCAATAAGTATGAAAGCCTTTGAAACATTTGTGAGCAAAAACAAAAGTAACGAAAACGAACTAATCATGCGACGGGTTTGCTGGCCTTGCTGCCACTTACTTCTCCATCGCATAACTGGGATGCAGCTGACTAGGGCCAGCAGAAGCGGAAGTGGCACCCCCACTTCCATTTCCATTCCCTGTCCCAGAGGCCACGGCCACGCCCTGTTCTCTGGGCGGCGTGGGCTGTTTGTTTACAATGACATTGGTCGCCTCCAGTTGGCTATTCGATGCCGATGGCTCAGAGCCGTCGGAGCTTTTGGGGTTTGCGGCAAGATGGCAAAAAATTGTTGGTCGAAATGTCAGGGGAAAAGGTGGTCGAACAACTGAATACTTACTGCTCCTTGTGGCCCAGCTCGATTTGACTCTGACCTCGCAACAGAGGCCGCTTCTCGGGGGATTTGGTCTCCTTGTTGCCCTCCAGGGGTTGCGGTGCAGCCCCCTCCTCGGCGCCTGTCAGTTGCAGCTGCACCAGGGGCTTGGCCTGTGCATCCGGCTCCTCCTCATCCTCCTCCTTGAGGTCGTGGCTCTTGAGGGAACTGCCGGGCTTCGCCTCGATGCCCACGCCCCCCTCGCTGCTGAGCGACATCTTGCGGTTCTGAAGGAGACGCAGACGCTGGGCATCGTACGCTTTGAACTTGGGCAGGGCGTCGTCGATGAAGGTGTTGGGCACCCGCTTCTGGGAGACCCGGATCTTGCCCACGTACATCACCTCGAAGAAGTGCGTGTGGTTTGGCGAGATGTCCGCCAGCAGTGAGAGATTGCTCTGGGCCGACGTGGACGTGGGAATGTTCACCGTGCCCGAGGAACTGCTCAGGCCATGGGTATAGGACTTGGAGGCCTTCATCTTGGAGCTAACGGGATTGGGGCTTGTGTCGTGCTGGGCACTGCGCATCGCTTCGCTCATTTTCAGATTCGTGGCGGGCGTGGCATGGATACCATTCAATGCCCCGTTCGAGGAGCCGTGGCCGCCACCTCCGCCGCCGATCAGCGTTTGCGGAATGCTGCCCACGGAACCGCCAAGCGTGTGGGCCGGATCCCGCATCTGGTGCATCAGCTCGGCCATCTGCAAAAGATTCGCAAAAAGAAGACAATAGGTCATTCAGGCACTAATTTTTGTTTCTGTCTGGGATTTGAAAGGAAAGTTAAGAACGTGCAGTCAGTACAAGAGCAAAATTCATGGCCTCCCAATTTGATGGATGACTTGATGTCCTTTGGTTTTATTCCGCATCCGCATCCGCATCCCGTCTATCCCTTATTTCTTCCCCGCTTTAGGTTTTACTACCCTTGAGTTTATGACATTTTTGTGGTCCAGCCACTTAAGGGGTATTGGGAGGTGCTTCGAAAGTTCGGGGAAAAGTTTGCTGGACATCCCTTTCATGCTTTCAGCTGAGACCGCTTCGTGACTGGGATAATGCAGTTTAACTGCGGTATGCTTATATATATATATTCTATTTGACTCTTTCTTAAGGGAGGCAATATGAAGTTTATTACAATATACCCATGAAAATTCCAGCCATTTAGAAGGGATCAAGACCATTTTATTTGATGTTCACGTTAGCAAACCACAAAGCATTGTTTCAAAATATTTGTAGTTTTGAGGGTGCAATAAATTTGTTTCTTCAGCAACTGATAAGAATGTTTATAAGTTGTGTATGCTTTCAGTAGATAGCTATTAAACTTTCATCATTTTTTTAAAATTTTATTGCCCATCGTAACATGGAATAATAATTTCTAAACAGGACCCACCATAAGCAGCCAGTACGATTTATTGAAAACTTCACACAATCAAATTGCAGATGCCTACTAGATTTTTGACTAATCTTTTCAGATTACATATCTATCTTATGATCAAAGAAAACGTAGATGCAAAATTAAAACGTAAATAAAATTCTTAGAGCTCGTTAAAGTAAAAGACATTTCCAAGAAATAGAGACGTTCATTTAGTCATGGGACATAATCTGTGGGTGAGATGTCTGTCGGTATGTTGAGAATTGAATCAGCAATCCCGAAAAAATGCTATTCAAAAACTCAATATTGCAGTTCTGAATTTCCAGTTGATTTATGGTTAATATGCAAAAATAACCAGATGTAGGTCAAGTCCAGAGACAAAACCGAGATAAAACTGGGATATTTTGTGAGTCACAGTGATCATGTTCAATGTTCATGCCGACGCAGTGTCTGCCCGAAAGCTTCGGCATCATTGGATGCATCAGCTGCTCCCGGCGTGATGATGATGATGCACAGCCAAGAGACTCTCTAGGGCATTCCTTGGGCGAGAAATCGGTCAATCATTCCGTCCGTTGCTTCGTTGTTGCATTGAAAAGCTGCCAGAAATGATTTTGGCGGGTGCCAGCAAGTTAAAAGTCCAATGTCATCCCATTCTCAGTAGATGCAGCTGTCCGTCAGATGCGTCTTTTGCACACAAACTGCTCACAGATTGCGCACAAATATCTCGAAGATGCATTGGTATGGACCACAACTTATTGTCATTTATCAGCAATTTTAAGGCAAAATTCAAACACACAAGCAAATGAAAAAGTTATCTTCCTAAATTGATTTTAATTTTCATTCTTATTTTGGGACTGGCCCTCTGCTTCTTCGACGTGATCACCCATTTGCCGAGTGATCGTGACGACATCTGCAGAACAAGTTGACCAATAGCCATTTTTCTTAATACATATTGTACCTACAGTTGCGGTCATAATAATAGTACAAACTGCAAGTATCTTCAAATCAGTATGTCAAATATAAACAAACATTTAAGTTAATAACGTTACTTTGACGTTCATTACAGTCTGTGTCTTAATAAAATAAATTGATATTCAGTTTATGAATATTTTTCAAAAATACAATACAACTGAAAACCTTCTTAAGATTTTATTGCTATTATAGCTACCCCAATTGTTTATATGGCTTTGGATTTGTGCGGCACGCGTGTTTTTAAAACCGTCTGACAATATATGTGCATGGGTGTTTCTCTTTTTTGTTGTTATTGTTTAACCGAAATAAAAACACAAAACATTGGCCATAAATAATGAAAAACTGTTTGCAGGAATTCAATTCAACGTCACGTTCGCCTCGCATTTTCTCGATGACTTTGTCTTTTTCGTTTATTTTTACGTGTTTGCACTAGTGCTGTTGTTGCATTACTTTTTAATAACAATGTGCATATATAATGCCGAATTGACGGGGCTTAATCTCGCCGAGACAGAACGCAACAACCTTGACTAGCCGCAATGACGACAAAGCCAAATTACAGTCGATTTACAGGCGATTTACAGGCGATTTGCACGCGTTTATAATCGCCAGCAATGTTATGGGTATTTTTATATCCCTCAACTGTTTTGCATTGCAAATGTTCAGAAAAATATAAAAAGGGTTTAGAACATCATGCAAACTGCAAGCGGAGGTACAGTAAACATGTCATTTAACGACTTTTTAGTGACCTAAACATATTAGTATCAGCATTTCGAAATGTTATTCAAAGTCAAAAAATCCTTAAGACTATAAAGATATTTTGAATACTATTTTGTGTATAGAGGCGTAAACGTATAATATTAAAAGTATTAATAAATATAAAAAAATAAATATAAATATTCTAAGCTTTATTGATTGTTAAATTTAAGAATAAATATAAAAAATCTTGGTCATTCAACCTTTTGTGAGAGTGCTAATGCTATAGATACCACATTTCGTCATAAATCAAATGTTTCCGGGAATTCCGAACTGGCTTGCAAATTTTGTCCCATGTCTGAACTACAATATTTAATGTTTCATGTCAGCGTTTTTATGTCATCTTTTTTGCCCCCCAGTCGTGTCTGTTTGCTGTTATCGCCGCTCGTTTGCTGTTTTATGACTTTTTGTGCAATTCGAAATTGCAATGTGCGCTGTCAGTGCGCCTTGTGAATAGTAAAGATAGACCTGGTATGTCGTTTAAGCCCCATCAGCTGCACCGTTTGTTGAACCCAGTCGTCACCAAAAGGCAGATCAATTTAGCCACAATCGACATGGCCAGGCCATTACAGTACACCAAACGAACTTGTTTGCATTCGATTTAGAGTCGCCTTAAGGTCAAGACTGCAACGCATTTCCCTGCCGATTTGTGACGATGCCGGATTCGATTCGGTTCGGTTTATGGACATTTGTTCCGCCCTATTTAAGCACACAGCAATGCTTATTGTTATGTGTTTACCATCTACGGACTGAGAGCCAAATGCAATGTTTATCTTTCGCTAATTCGAATTATGACTCAAATACATTTAAGCCATTGGAAAACAACATGTGTACAGAGTTTTAAAAGTTTGCGAGAAGATTGACCGCAATTAAAGTTTAATTTTATACTTTTGCATGTAGCTAAAATTACAATTTAATGCCTTTATTGTTAACTTAAAGCTTTAAGCTGAATTGACTTTTTCTATTGCCCAGCAATTTGTGACCGGTTCCTGATAGCCTATAATTCAAATAAACCCTAATGTAATTTAGAATCTATCATAAGTTTGCAAAGTAGTAAATAAAACCAGTTCAATTACCGGCAAATTTAGTCGCTCAGTTCAAAAGCTAATGAAATTTTTCCGATCGTTTAAGCAAAATGAAATGTTTTTCAAAATTGCATCTAAATGTCGATAGGTATAAATCGAAACGTTGTTAACTTAAACAAACTTATTGGGGAACCTAACGTACCTTATTTCGCGTTTCATTTTAAAGCACTGGCAATATACATTTTATAGTAACCGATTTAACCGGTTTCAGTCGCTTGACATATAATTGTACAATATTTTTTTATATTTTTCCCTCGAAACTTTTCACCCTTTCAGTTTTTTTTCAGCTCTTGAAACGGCTTTTGTGCAACTTTTGAAGCCCATCAAAAGTGAACAATCAACTCAGCTGAAAAGTTAAAGGCACAAAAAGTGTTTTCCCCGATTGCAACGCTCTCTTAGACACCGGGACCAATAAGGTCGCCATGGCCATGGTCAAGTGCCACATAAAGGACGAATTCGAGAAACTTTTTCTGGCGCCTACGGCCAAAAGTGTGTTTCTGACCAGACCACCCTTCTTTGCCGTTTGGCACGCGCGCGGAATTTAATTTAACACAAAATAGAAGACGGAGGAGGAGCTACAAAACAAAACAAAAAAAAAAACACTTTATATGGTAATCCGCAAAATAGAATATCCGAGTCATTTACATGGGAATTGTCTCTGGCCTTTTAAATTTCAATAAAAGTCCAACTCAGAAGGTAAAGAGAAATGGCAAAGCGAATTCATTATTGACGAGATGGAAAGACCATTTCAAGGGTAAATCAATTAGTGTTGAGTGGAAGTCAGTAGTGGCTGTAGAGTAAAAAAAAAAAAACCGGGGTAGGCGACTTTTAACTTGGCCTAAACGCTGCAATTAGTTGGGAAACAAAAGAACAAAGCAATCGCAGCAGTGCATGCATAACAAACCATTACATAAGGCGGCAAACAAAAGGCAAGCAGCAAGTAAATAGAGACAAATTACACAAGCTCAGGCGCAGGCAGAAAAATTGAAATCAATTCAGCGGGTTAGTGTGGTTCGATACTGGATAGTGAATAGTGGATACTGGGATCCGAATCTCCATTTTTTACATACGGCCCGACTCTTGTTGAGCACCGACGCATCGCTGACGGAGGTGGTCAGGATGGTGTCCCGATGAAACGGCACAGTGAACATCTTCAGATACTATCCTATCCGCCGGGCGAACTCGTACTCTGGTTCTGGTTCTGGTTCTGGTTGTGGTTGTGGTCTTTTGGTTATCACAACTTACTTTTACAACTTTCACACAGCCGCAGCTTGTATCACAAAATTCTATTTTGAGCCTTGTACTTTGGGTGTTTGAACGACTATCACAAGTTTTCCATGGTTGTTTTCTTTTTATCACAAGATAGCTGGTCAAGAATACACTATTTACAACGTGCTAGGGCTTTAATTTAATTTATTATTAAACGATTTCTTTAATTTGTTTTATTTTAAAACTCTTAACATTCACTTTAATGATAATTTGGTTTTATAACTAGTGCCAATAATATCACTTTGTTATTTTTGCTTAAATTAAACACTTGCTAAGAGAGTATTAAGTTATTAATTGATGTTGATTGAGGCTTAAATCAAATTTCGCGATTTGTTTTTCCATTAATTACTGTAATAAATCAGCCAACTTTTCAATATTGTAGGTTGCTCACATATATGTATTCCGATTTCTGTTCGTCGCCAGAAAAATCACGTAAATCACCAACCTTTTACGACCGTTCGCGAGGCTCGAGCAATGGGAAATGACCATCAAAATGACCGGCAACAAATGCGAACAGAGCAGAGCGTGTTCTGAGGGCCAAACGATTCTCGCGACTAACGAAAGTATTTTCGAAATTCGAACGAACTACAGCGATCAGCTGTTCGAGAAAAAGTGTATTTGCCGATATAGAAAAGGGTCAAAGTACTTTCTGCTGCGCTTGGCTGAGCGATAAATCATTATAATTAAACAGATTCCCAAAGCTGCACTTGTCGCGATAGCCAATTGGCTGGGGAATCGCACTAACAACGATAATAAGACAATATCGCTGTATATATAATGATGTACTCGTATGCCCGTCCATTTGTTTATCCATCTATCTTTATCTTGCGCCCCTGCTAATTGTCGCGTTAATTGATTTTGCTTGACTTGATTCCGAGCTGTTTGCAATGGCACTTTGCAACTACACGATATTTGGGACAATGAGAGCCCATTGAGTGCTTTTGTTTATTTCGAGTGGAAAATTACGAAGCTCACTTTATGTAAGAGTAAGCTAGGTGTTTTTCCAACCATTGCCAATTCATAAATACCCAAAAGTATCTCAATTGGTTTGCCTTGGCCATCCAAGAATTTTTAATTAAGCGAAGCGTCGGATAAAACAATTAATAGAATCGACAAGACGGACAAAAATAAGCAAATTTCTATATGATTTACACATGTGTGGGTGTGGGTATATATAAATTGTTGTGCTTTTTGATTTAGCTGGCGCGTTTTAGTAACTGATTTATTTTTGTTTTCGAACGCTCTGCTCTTTTTGTTTGCTAATCACTTTTTATTTTCGTGTACGATAAACAAGTTTTTGATTTTTTTTTTTTTGCCCATTTCACTAATTTGTTGTTCGTTTGGTTATTGTTTTGCGTTGTCACCCGGCCCCTACCAGTTTAATTATTTATGTATTGTAGCGTCTCTGCACTTTCCACAGGTATTATTCGGTTTCGTTACGGGGGGTAACTCTCGCCGCCTTCAAGCGAAGCGCGCACCATTCAATTGCCGTCTGACAACTGACGGCCAGCAGATTCAATCCGAGAAGTGCGACTGGGGAGCCCACGATATAGCGACCTGCGCATGCGAAATCGAAGAAGATATGCGAGTGCGACGGAGAGCAGCCCGGCAAGAGCGACAGAACGAGCGAGAGCGAGAGAGAGAGCGAACGATGCGAGCATGCAGGCCACACGGCGAATACTTCATGTGGTAAATAAGATCGTAAAATACAAGCGTGCATTGGGCAACCGACCATGGTAAATACAACATCTGTTGTGCGGATTTCAATGGGGAAACGACAATCAGCTTAGCCAAAATCGATGCCCAATCGGCCAAAGTCAAAGGTACACACAAATTGCTTGTTCTTTAATGGAATCGGGAGAAATGTTTGGTGAAAATGCGGTAATCTATGTTTTTGCTTTAGGATATAATTTATTTTATTTCAAAATATAATATGTATATTTTATTAAATTTAAACAACACAAAATATTTAGGTATGAACTAGTTTGAGTTTATAAAGAGTTTAATGTTTAAAATGCTTGTATCTAATCGAATCGGGTGAAATGTATTGTGGAATGCGATAATCTGTGTGAATATAAGTTAATAAATACGTTATGATATGCAGCATTTCTAAATGTTTAAAGTTTTCGTGAATAATATTTTTCAGATAGAAATGATATTTTAATTCTTTTAAATTTATTATTTATAGGTTTACTTTACGCTTGAAAATAACAACTTGCTGAATCCGTTATTGCTTTCACAACCAAAGTATAAGCATCTTACTTAAGCTATATCGCAATAAAATAAATAAATATAACAACAATTTCGATTTAAGAATTACTCAAAATAAAAAATCATGAAGAGTAGTGCAAATAATAAACAGAAAGTAAAGCAACATTCCATTTGAATTCCAGTTACAAACTAAAACTTGACTATAAAATCAATTTGTCACAAGCACAAAGAACCGAACCGACAACAGCACAGGACCAAGTGAAGAGAAAAGGACCGACTCCAATCTAATCATGGTGTAAAATGGTTCTTCCTTCCCCAATGTGCGACAAATTCAATTTGTTCACCGGGCGGGCTTGCCAAGTTCTTCTTCCCAAACGGAAGGAGGCAATATTTTGCATGCAATTCGAGGAAATAAAAGTGAAAGCCAATTATCTGCCGAAGAGAACGGCTTTCAAGGGAGGCGGAGGCTTAAAACGTTCAATATCGGTTTGAAAAAGTTGCCCAGTGCCAAAGTGAATGGAAAAATCGTATGTGTACTTTATGTATATTGTGAGGGAGGTATACTTTTCAGGCCCTTTCATTGCAGTCTCTAGGCAAAGTCCTTCGCTCTTCATGAGCCTCACGATGGCATCTTCAAAGAATGCGAAATTGTCGACAGTTTGAAAGGTTGCCAACACACTCGATTGGTTTCTTGTTGGCCCAACCGAGTTGTTCAAGCGGCGAAGCAGAAGAACATGTTGATGGCCAGAACCAGTAACCAAAAGCTGTCACTGACATTCGCCTTGAATGGCCATCTCCCGCCACAATCCACAATCCACAATCTCGTTCACTTCACATCCTGCGGGAGGGAAAGACAATAAGCCCGATGTTTAAACAGGCGAATAGCAGCTCTGCGCCATGCGTCATTTAGCAAAGGACACGGCACGGATCCACCTGCTAATGATGCACAAGGACATTTAACAGGTGAATGCGGACACAGGCTTTAAATATTTACGAGCTTATGATGTTGTTTAAGTGCCGCCGAGGACCACAGCTGCATGCGCCCCCGAAAGTATGCCACGCTTAGCCGACTCCTTGCAATTAACTTTATTGTTTCAGCATTTGCGTAATGGGTTCCCTTTTTTTTTTTTGCTTTCTCGCTATGAAAATAGACAGGATGGCCAAGGGAAAATGCACTTATCTCAGTGCCTAATGGCTTCAATTAGTGGCCCAAACGGGGGAACATATTCGGCAGGTTGACCACAGTCGGCCAATTATGTCGAGGTTTAGCTTTGTGTGTTCGCTTTAACTTGACTTTGTCGAGCTCCTAATTGGAAAAAGGATTGAAAACTGATTTCAATTTATGAAAAGCAAAAACATATTCTATTGGACCTATTTTTCAATGTCAAGATCGACGGTTCTACCTTGTAACCAGTCAAAATAATTGAACACAAAGTCAATTAGTGCGGAAACACAACTTAACTTTCTTATTGTGATCTATTTTGACAGGAGTCGGTTGGAAAAAAAACTACACAGTCGAATTTCAATAACTCGGACTACTTAATATACCATAAATAAGTTTCATGTTAACGGAACTTTGAGTGAACTAATCATGCAATTGTACTTCATTTAGATATAACTTGGGATAAGTATTGTTAAATTCCTGTATTATTTTTAAGTCCATCGAGCTGTCCAAAGCCCCAGGCAAATAAATAAATATTAGCCAGCTATTTAAAATGGATACATTTCTATACCTTACAACGTATATATATTCTTGACCTTCATCACTAAAAGAGTCGTTCTAGATATACCCGTCCGTCCGTTTGTTCGTTTCTACTAGTCTGAAACTTTCACAAAAATTTTTGTAATATCAGCAAGTCTGTATAAATTGTATACTTATTTTCCGAACGAACGATTTGTAAATTGATTATTATTATTTTTTTATACCCCTCATCAGCATATTTATTTGCTATCAAATAAATAAACTACTCTAATTTCATTGATTTCATTTTATTGTAAACATTTTGATTCGTCGACCTTTATTTATATAGGAAACATGTTGGTTAAGTTATGATGCGAAGAACCACAAAATAAAACAAAACAACCCAAAGCAAATATAAACAATTTAAGACTTATTCTTTGTTAAGAAAATAATTAATATTTAAGAAAAAAAAAGAAAGCAATGCCTGTGTTTTTACCAAACACACTTATACTTTGTTTATTGAGATCTGCATTAGCCTTTAACATGCCATCGAAATTTGTTAGGCGTTTAAGACGACCGTAAAACTGAAATGCGAACACTGACCCAGATACTCGTAAATCAAACAAGCTGAAAACTAAATGCAGGAGGCACAACTCAATAAAACTTCTGAACAACGCCACCTCACACCAACAAAAACTCACTATCAACAATCATGCCAAGTCAACATCATGGCCGAAACGTAGGGTTTAAAACGCTTTTGACATGCAATGAGCCAACAACAGCTCTTGTTAAAATTCTCCACCAATTACGATGAAATTAAGTGAAAGCGCTCAATGGAGAATAAAAGCAGAAATGCGAAAATAACAGAAAATGGCAAACTTTTAAAGCTTCTAAAAATGTACCCCATTCATTTAACATTTAATTTACCAAACATATGTATTAGGAGGTAAATATAATTCGTTGTTACATTGTTTACGTTTTAGAGGTTCAATTTTCCTCAAATTTTCCCCATTGTTTTCTACCCGAGGGGCGTGGCCACTTGAAAAAGCGTAGAAGTGGACTTGTTTTTGGTCTGCTCATTCGAAATTAACTTTTTGCGTGTTATCGGCAGAAGGTCATGCGGAGCAGTTCTTATTTAATGGACTGCTCTTGCTGGTTTCACTAGTCGAACAGCCCCAATTTAGTTGCTCTCTACTTGCTGAACTGTTTTAATTAGAAATGCAAACGGAAGTCAATTTATGGCGTGCTGGGCGTACACCATTACTCGGGCTCCTTGGGCTTGTCTCAGATATTAGGATTTAACACATGCGTGATAAGGAGACGAGGTCAGGTCGGGCTAAACTTCTATTTTCGTAGCGCTCAGTACATGCCTTATGAATAGGCTTTGTTCGAGGTGAATTTAAGAGCTTAATTGCAAGGACTTGTTAATTATTTCTTCTTAAACGAGTTTAAGGATAGTTAAAACAGGTAAACAGACAGGGTCTCGGCGATTGCTACTACTGGTAAACGAATTAGCAAAACCTTTAAAACTGGCAAGATTTTTTAACATTATCAGTGTACATTTAAATCAAGAAATAACGCTAAACTCGAGTGTACAGCTACCAATTTCAAGATAAATATGCCCTCAAAAAATAGAACGAGCATCAACTTTATTTTCAAAAGTCTAAAAATGTATACGCTAACTACTTTCAAACATGTTTGTAGGCTTAACTGCATGTTAAATTTTAAATATTAAGATTTTATTGTTTTTTAGACCCCATCGCGAATACGGTTTGAAATGGCTATATCAAATCGTTTAGGTATGCTGATCAAGAATATAAATGTATACTTTATATGGTCGGAAATGTCTCCCTACATTGCGTTTAAAACTTCTGACTAATTTAACAATATCCTTAGCGAGAGTACAAAAAAGGGTTACAAACTCAATAGCATAGTTAATCTTTATGCTCACACTAAGACTCCTCTAATGAGGACCAATCTCTGGGACCTATATATTAATTTTAACCAACTCAACTTGAAACAGCAATTAGATTTTTGTGGCCAGAGGTAGGCGCTCGTTAAGCATCCAAACTTGCATGATAGGTCGCAACAAAACCCGCAAAATCCTTTTTGGGGTCTTTCCTGCACGTTCTGTGCAATTTAATCCAAGCAGTTTTTATATGGTAAACTATTGTGTGGCAAGTTTTCTAAACATTTCCATATGAAAGCATTTCAAAAGGCCACAAACTGTCCGCACACACATTCATGCCGTTTGGTTTGGTTCAGTTCACTTTCCCCTCAAAATAGCAGAGATTGTGAGAAAACGAAATGCCAGCCGGACAGACAACTGACACAATGTCGGCTAAAACTGTCGACAACTTTTCCCATCCGTCTTCTGGTCATGATTCGGGCTTCAACTTACCTCCTCGACGGCCTCGCACTCGAACAGATAGATGTGCAGCAATGGGTCCTTGGGATCCTTCAGCAAGTAGACCAGTCCTGTGATGGGTCCCTGAAATTCCATGAAGTTTTGCGGCTGCTCCGCCGAGGCCTCGGCCGCCTGCTGCTGTTGCAGCTGATAAGCGGACGCCGCACTGGAAGAGAGTGAGCCGTACGACGTCGACGCGGTCAAT